ATTTGTATATGCACATAGGAAGAGTTAACTCTTTCAGTAGATTAATTCCCTTTCCCTGCTTTAATTCAAAATCCCTAATTGTATTTTTAATGCTTTACAGAAGGAAAAAGAGAGAAATTACATATTTTCTCAGTTTCATTCCTTTACATGTAACAGTTTTAACAATTTGAATTCCAGCTCTCTGCAGTACTTTATGTGGCTTGTATTTTGTGAGACTGTGTAAAACGTAAACTCTATTTTATTTCTCTGTAAATGTCAGGAGAGTATAAATCAATAATAGAGTGGTAACTGAGCAATTAACTCATGTCACCCCTGTACCTTCACATTAGCATCACTGAGAAGGATCTTACCCTTTCAGTGACCTCAGTAAAAGCAATAACATCCTTTTCTGCTAAAGGTAATTTTTTTAAGTGAACTTGGCACTCCTGAAAGGTGATAGATTGACAATCCTGTAAAGTGAAGTTGCTTATTTGGTCATTGACTATGGGTAGTATGTAATTCCACAAATTATCTGGTGGTACAACCCTGTCCCAGAAGGATAAGAATGGAGTCTGGTACTTCTTCTTTCACCCATTTCATTGAGGCATCACAACTTCGATGTCAGTTGTCAGGCTAGTTTCTGATGCAGTTGCTGTCAGTTAACAAGCAGAGCTGGAGTTCCAATTCATTTTCAATGAGCAACCACATATGACTGTAATCAGTATTGACAGAAGGTAGATGGCCATCACAGACACGCAGGTGTAGGTCCTGTCTCCTATCCCCTACACTGCTTCATTTGCAAAATAGCATATAATAGATGTTCAAAATGCATAAGAAAATCCTTGAAACAACTAAGCAAGTAATAATCTTCTGTAAAGCTTATAGTAAGATTTTGAAAGCTTTAAGCTTTATGCTTTCTGGGGAAAATGAAGAAAATTCATCAAACAGGGAAGTGGAAGATAATTCCCTTAGTCTATCAAGCATATTTTCATTTATTAATTTCTCACCATACCATAGTACTAATCAAGTCTGTTTGTATTTGCCAGAAGTCTGAAAGGTATTGGTACTCTGGGCCTTGTGACTGCAAAGATTTTCACTCATCCACTCTGCCATGGATCTCGAACGAAGAGAGAAGTATCTCTGTGCCTCTCTCCCTCCTGTCTACAAGCAAAATGCCCTGAAAGTGTTCCAGGTCAGGTTAGATGGGGCTTTCAGCAATGTGGTCTAATGGAAACTGTCCATGATCTTTAAGGTGACTTCCAACCGAAACCATTCTATTATTCTGTGAAAATATGCAAGTAATTCCCTATCTCAGAGCAGCGTGTAGGGTACAAACACACATACAGAGATCATGAACTGTTCTGATACAGTAGGAATAAGGAAAGGAATCAGATATGGAGCTAAGACCATACCAGGATTCACCCTTTAATGGTTGAAGGGTCTTTCTTTCCTTGAATGTAGCTACACTGAAACATCTGAAGAGCAATGAAAATGGACCCTGTCTCTGTTGTATCTTTATATGTGTACTTCTGTATTTCTATGTTGACATGGAGCTATTCTCATCAAAGTGCAGAGGAGGAGTATAGGAGAACCAGAGCTGCATCTACCATAGCCATCTGGTGTGTTGAAGGGGTTCTTGTTTGGGTCAGAACTTGCCTTCTTCTGAACTTGGGTTCATATACACAGATGCTAGTGCAGTGAGGAAAAATTTGAAGCAGCTTTCCTCTCATTGTCCTGGCAGGCCACCATTCTCTGTGCCCCACTTGCAGTGTGGCCATGAGAAACATCAGTATTTTGCCCTTTACACATGCAGGTAGTTTTGGGAACAGCAGCAAGACAACTTTGGGGTGTTGGTACAAAGATCTTCATTGTATTGCCTTTTTAGTTTAGATGTAGAGACACACATAGGACTGGCAACTAGCATGAGCTTGACTGCCAATACACATGAGATTTGCCTAGGTCTTAGGACCATAGCAGACTGCACAAAACAAATTCCCCTTTGTCCTCCATTAATCAGTGATGTAGTTGCAACCAGCAAAAAGCTTGTTTTCTGCTTTCTACCCCCAGCAAAGAGTCTTATCATGAACATTGTCCTCTATGGGGAAGGTGAAGTGTTTTGTCTCTCATCTCAGTCTTTTCGGGAAGAAAAGGTACAACTGATGCAGTATTTAGCAGGAACAAGTTTAGGCCCTTGGAGTATGTCTTTACTAAGGAGTCTGGGTAAAACACGCATCAGTAGTCCTACCTCTTTTCCTATGGTTTTATGGGGAGGAAATCGGAGAGGTTAGTCTGGAATAAGCCACAGTGTTATCTATGCTTTCTACACCATCCCTTATCTAGATATTGAAGTGACAAAAGCTAGATGGTATTTTGGATATACTATACATAAAGTCCTTTTGCTATTCCTATCATAATCAAGTACTATTATTTTCTTTACAGTGAACTGTTCTTCCCAGCTGTCTTAGGACTGAATCTGATCTTTTGAAGTTAAGGAGTTAAGGAGTTAAGATTTGGAGGATAGTGTGATGGAATTTTTTTAAATGTTTCAGGGACTTATATCTTTCAGTAAATAATGTTGGAAGATATGTTTCGAGCCCCTGATAGTGATGGTTTTTAAAAGATTTCCCTTTTGTCTTAGTATAAAATTCTCTCGTCTGGGGTAAGTGCAGTTACCTAGATTGGAAAATGCTGTAGTGCAAGGTTACACTGATGTTTTTGCTGTGGAATGCCCATCTGTGCTTCCTTCAGGACATTTGCATATGTGGCATCTTTTCTTATATTTAAATCCAACCACTCCTCAGTGTGCCATCTCATTAATTGTACACTGGAAAGAGGAAAAGGAGAACACTGTGACCTGTGTATATGTAGTACTTAGTGAGAACCTAGGGAATTGTTTAATGAATTAAATCACCTCAGATATTTCTTCTACATTCTTGAATAGCCCACCAGCTCCCCTATGCCTGTAGAAATTGCTATAGGGCTCAGGTGGTGCCTCATTAACTATAATGTCACTTAATTTCTTCCTTCTTTATGCTGGAAGTACCTTCAAATAAAGCTTGATGGCATAATTCTCGGTGGCCATAATTAACAAATGAGGCAGAGGTAGAACAAGAACCCACATATGTGAGAGCAGAGCAGATCTATGTCGGTGGCAGATATCGTGGTGTTTACCCAGTGGCAGCAAGCAAGTGAACTCAGCTGTCACTGGCAGTACCCCCTGCAGGGACAAAGGTAGTGTTAATTAAAATTCACTATGCACAAAAGGGCTATTCCTAATGAACATGTACTGATGAGATATTTAGCTCTGTCATCTTCAGATGCATTAGAAATAGCTTTCATGAAAGATTTCTATTCCCAGGAAGAGTTGTCAGTTTTCCTGAAGCATTTTGGTCAGTACCATTGTTTTCTATGTGGAATCACACAGTGACACGTAGAACACGCTGAAGTAGAAAGTGTATAAAAAATGTTGTCATTTTGCAAAAGAGATTCAACCTGAGTTTCTGAGTGATGTTGTCAGTACCCTGGTGTCAGAAGCTTCTCCCTTCTTTTCACCTGGTCATGGGAGTTGGAAGAGACGACCTCCAGAGGTGTCTTCCAACCTAACATTTTCTATGAGTCTATGATAATTTCTGCCTTTCCGTGAAGGGCAAGTAGTATGATAAATATGTATGAGCACAAATGAGTTAATAAGAAATGTAATGTTGCTAAAGTCAATAGTAAGATTCCTCTTGCCTTGGAGGGAAACAAAACAGTTTCTATTTGTGGTGGAATGTGAATTTTTTCCACTGAATACATTATAGAATGTTTGGGCAAACATTACCATATAACTGTAACAATTGTTTGTCATAGCTCCACCCTGACACGTACTAACAGCAATAGAACTTTGACTTACAGATCTGTAAATACTTGCTCTGGTTCAGCACCAGGTCATACTGCAGCTGAAGAATCCTATTACATCTGCCTTTATCTTGTTTTGCTATGGCTATGAATCTGTCCTCAGAGCAAGACCAGACCTGAGACTTGCAGCACATTCTTGGACCCCACATTCCAGGGTGCGTCTGTTGCATTTGCATGGCAGAGATCTGCATGGCTGCTCGGCGTAACCCTCCTGCAGAGCAGCCTGGGTGGAGTAACAGGCTTCAGAGGCCTGTGCATGTGAGAAGGCAAGAAGTCTTTATTTGGCCTTTCT